CTAATTCCTGGCAATGTGAGCAGAGTTAGCCTGCAATATTGCATTCTAACCATTCCACCAATATGTTTTTGACTTTAGTTTTGCCAGGTAAGGCAACACATTTTTTCATACAGCATGTAGAACTACTGTATGTCTGAGAGAAAGCTTACTAAACATAAATGGAATTGTATTGAGCATTGTGAAATGTGCCTTTCTAATGGCTTGTTCTCACAAGCCCATGTAATTTTTTTAAAACAGCTTGTTGCCTGCTCATAATAGCATTTAAGAGCACAAAGATAGCAGGTAGTCTTTGTTCATGCTATCAAGTTAGTCAAGAGACTTTCCTGTGACTTCTAGGAATCAATGAAGACTCGCATATGAAGATGTATATTAGATCTGACCAAAGGCTTATGTATTCTAGCATGCTTTCATATTCTTAGCATTCTCTTCCAGTGGCCAATCAAAAAATCAATGAGAAATTTCTGAGTGTGATAGCTACTTTTCATCAGTCTCTCAGTACAATGGGAGCATCAGTACAATGGGATGCCTCTGATTTTTGCTTGTAATGAATAGCCATCATGATTAGCAGCCTGTGATATCTTCTCCATTATTCAACTAACCAGTATTTAAAGTTATCCAACTTGCTGGCTATTACCACAACACAGAATAAGGAATTCTATACAATAACTGTAGATTGTCAAAAGTAGACTTTTCTTCTGGGAGCTTTCCTAAATTACTACTACTACTACTACTACTACTACTACTACTACTACTACTACTACTACTACTACTACTACTACTACTACTACTACTACTACTACTACTGTAGTATGTGGGGGGGAGAGAGATCCCATTCTTTTCTGGGAAGTCCTAGTCATAAACATCTTGGTTATCCTTTTCTACACCTTATCTTAGAATCTTTCTTGGGGATTGGGGAAAATGCACTACAGTCAGACCATTAAATTGAGGAATGGAATGTTATGTGCAATTTCACTTTCAATTTTCTTCCTATTAATTCTGAAATTGGATTTTTTTTACAATGTATAACTTCCTTGACGATTTAGGGATGCTTCAATAAATTTTTTCCATAAAAGGATGTTGCTTCTTACATTATATTTTAAAGGCAGCGTGATACACAGATAAACTCCATCTAGATTAATAATTTTATTCCAGGAAAAACAGTATTAAAGCAAACAATACCCTGTTTACTCCCAAATCTTTTCCCCTAAGAGATGTTTTGAGAGGTTTACTTGCTGAAAAGAAGTAAAAGAGCTTTCTCTGACAGTTACTCAATCCTGATAGAAGTTACTATATATCACTGGAGTTACTATATTGCAATTTGTTACCTTGTCCTCTATGACTTTGTTAAACTATGTTTAATATGGTTCAGGTTGATAGCAATTAGTCTATGGAAATGACAATTCAGCATTATCATAATGTCAGAGTGAAATCTTCCAGCCAATGCATCTCAAACTCTGATCAAATATCATTCTTTCATATTCATATCACTTTGTATTGATATGTTCTGACATAAACCTCATTTATAAAAATTGCACCACAGTTTTAAAAAAATAAATGTTAAGGATTAAAATAGATTAATCTGAATGTTGATACACAATGATATCTATTTGACATTTCTTACCAAAGTTTATTTTGGCTTAAAATGAAAGAATAATTCATCCATTTGCTGTTTGCACTCATTTCACATTTCGGGCCTATATCTATGGATTTGCTCATCATTATTTTTAAAAAATCAATTTTATTTTTTGAAGATATTGCATGAATTTATGCAAAATGTATTTTCACTTTACATTTACAATTGTAATTTTGCTTTTAAAACTAGTAGGAAAATGTATTTTTTCATTGAATGGATGACAGTGCGATAATGAAATGAAAAGCTAGAGTGTTGTAGAATTTGGATAACAGGATTCTTTATTATTTTCTTTTTAGCAAAATTTTAAAAAAATGTACTCAAATTATTTTTCAAATGCATCTTGAAAATATAAAACCTTTGTAAAAAGTTGTGTTTTAGCTTTATACAGTATATGCAGTGATATGTTGGTGCCTTTCAAAATATATACTGCTTCTTATATTTTAAGCCAGACATATGCTCTTGTAATACTCTTCAAAGAAGACACCAGTTTGACCAATGAATATAAATTTATATACTTCTAATTATTTTTTGAAGAAATATTAAGATCATTATCAGCTCACTTCTAGTTCTTGCAGGCAAATAAACCCTTCGGGGCAATGAAGGTGAAGGTGTAGGAAGCAGTTATAAACAACTTCAGTGGTTCCTATGGTAAAAATGCAATCATGATCTTCAACAACATTTTAACCAGAAAAAATATAACATCAAGTTCATTGATGAAATCATGACTTCCTTGTCATGAAAATTGCACTAGATGGACATGCCTAACTTCCATTTTTAAAAGCAGCTATAAGAAAGTCATTGCATTTTTGTTATTGCAGATTTTAAAGGTCTCTTGCTTTTCTACATACGTTATTATAATTATTGTCAAAAGTACTCAGAGATCTAAGGATCTTCTATCATTGATTCTTCAGCAGAATAACTTTCTCAGGCAGAAGTAGGGCCCAGTCTGCGAACCCACCCCCTTACCACACAAGCACATTTCAGTAACGCATAGCATTTCAATAATACACAAGTTTGAGGAGACTGACTGCTCAGTCAGTAATGAGAATCAGGGCTATCAAAATTTCGGGGACTACGCCCCATTGCTGAGCATGAGACAGAACATAGCATCAGTACCAGAGATCAAGGCCATCTTACCTGTAGTCACTCACCACCTGTTTACTCCTGTATCTCCCTGTGCTTGCCTTCTCCCTCTTAAAAAAGCCATCACCTGATCCTTGACTTCCCACCTCCAGATCAAAGGGCCCTATCACAGACTAGAGTAAGATTATAATATTTCAAAATAATTGACCTTTTTGATGCCCAAATGCTTCTGTAAAACCTCCTCCTATATACTAAAGATGTCTTAGTAAAGGCAAAGGTTCCACTGGCACATATGTGCTAGTCGTTCCCAGCTCATCTCCATTTCAAAGCCAAAGAGCCAGCACTATCCGAAGATGTCTCTGTGGCAGTGACGTGCGGTGAGGTTTATACCTGGTGAGGCTCAGCTGGGCATCCTTTTGCAAAACAGCTCAGCAGGGCAGCAGTCGGCCTCAACGGGGGGGGGAATTTGCATCGCGGGAGCAACCAAGCACCCGGGTCTGCAGCAAAGGCACTTGGTAGCTCCCGCGATGCAAAGTGCCCCGCTCCCCCCCCCCCACTGTCCCGGCCTGTGTCCGCTGCTTCTCCAAGCTCCGCCGCTGGAAGTCCCGGATCGCCTCTGGGG